GTGCCTCAGGCATATGAACACCACATGGTGTACATCTCCACCATGTTCACTGATCCACCTGTGATTTAAGTTTGTCTACTCCTCTGACTAAACCCTCGATGAGAATTTCTCAGACGTTTCCTTCGTCTGTGCAAAGTAGTTACAAATTTGTCGCTGTATCAGATTCATTGGGCCACTACTCCTTCCCCTCACACAGGTGCGATATATATATTAAGAGACTGTATAACCTTACTCTTGTAATCGTCTGGAATATTCATCCACCCGTCTGCAAACAAATATGAAAGTGTCATCATTATCCGCGAGAGGAACAAATGTGGGTGTTTGTGTGCAGTCACAGAGTAGGCTTCATGGCATGATGAATAGTTTTCGAAAGAATTTAGATGTATGCAATCAATGATATCTGTGTATTTGAGTTAGAAGTCACTCACACTGCAAATATGTGTTTCGTGGTTAGGCGTGTAGACAATCTGAATTCAGTGTTGTCCTCGTCCGTCACCATCCAGGTAGTGAGATTGTAAATCGAATAACTGACTGAGCATTGCGCGAAGCGGTGTCTACCCAAGTCATTCAGACACATCACATTACAAGCATTCCCTGCCACAATCAAAACATCTTGCGTGATTCTAAGATTGCATGCACATGTTATGTGACTTCATGCTTCGTGTTGTCTGTCGATGACGTCAGTGTTCCAGTGACGCGGTTTGAGGACGTCTGTGCATTAGCCAGATCCATCCTCTTCCACTCGGTGGACTGCCTAAATAGTTCTCATGCCTGAATTTCAGTCCATCAAGATCAAACACATCCTCCGTGATCCAAGTTAGTGTGTCTATTCAATCACTCACTCACTCACACAGAGGGGCAAGGCTGACAATCTACATTTTCATTATTCCCTGTGACATTCCAAGTGTCAGCATGTGGATTGCATCCTACGATTTCATTCGTCACTGTCTATGGCCACACCGTTTGTTGTGGATTCATCAGACATCCACATATTCACTATGAATTTCCCGCTGCAGTACTAGACTCTGAGAAGCGGCGTGGGAGGGAATCCTCAAGACGAAGTTGGGTCACTACCAGTAATCACAAGGAATGCACCAGATGAGAAGGAAGCTTATTCGTCCGGCGGAATAGAGTGTGGTTTAACTTACAAGTCACCACTGGCGGTTCTGTTGTTTCTGTTTTTCCTGTAGAGTGTGAGAAATCGGATTACAAATACACGAGTATACTTATATGTACACAAATAAATCGCGAAATGTAGGCGGTGAGATTTCTATACGGTGCAAATTTCATTTATTTATTGATGTCGAAACTCCTAGCACACGCAGAATAGGCTTCCTAAAGGATCGGTCAAATAGCGTCCACTTATTTGTTTTACGACTATGACAATATTTGGAACAGACGGCCGTCTGTCGTCTGGTTATGTGTGGTTCGGAGATATGCTTAGTGATCCGCTTTTCACACGTGCTTCGTGAAATTCCAGGCTGAGTGAAGTCACGCAATGCTGAGATATAATAATAATAATAATAATAGTATATTCTCATTTTGTACATGAGAGACGCCAGTTTACAGGCATCATCAATATGATAAATTACATATACGATTAGCAATCATAATTAATAATAATGTTTTAATAAAGTACACATTTTTTCCTACTTGTGTAGGACACACCAAATATACAGGCATGGATAAGCATTAATTAAATTTCATAAATTCGGTTTATGGTTAAGTTACATGGTTGCTGGCGTTTTTGTTTTAATAATAATTATAATAATGTATATTCTCATATAAACATATAAATTTACATGAAAATGCATGCCATTTTTTTAGGTCTGTGGGAACAATATGATAACCAGTCATTCAATGGAGCACATCATGAAATATAGGAATATTGACTTCGCATTAACAAAAAAACCCAAGTAAGTTTTGGATGGATTAAAAATACTTGGGAAAAAATAAAGCTTGAAGTTATTCCACAATATAACAAGTCATTCAATGGAGCACATCATGAAATATAGGAATATTGTCTTCGCATTAACAAAAAAACCCAAGTAAGTTTTGGATGGATTAAAAATACTTGGGAAAAAATAAAGCTTGAAGTAATTCCTCAATATAACCTGGGTGTGTACAAATCCGAATCTCATTTTTGATTTGATTTATATCCAAATTGGGTAATAAGGAAGCTATTTTTACAGATACGATCAGTTATGTTATAAGCTACAATCGTGAAGTTGTATTACAAATTGATACTTTTCCATTGGTATAAGAGTATATTCCACAAATGTAATCCAGGTTGCGTCGTGGAGAAAGTTAATTCGTTATTAACCAGGCAACTGAAAGATACGGGACCAATAATGTTTGCAGATCATTTGTCATTGTAAATGGTCAAATATCCACATTATTCATTCTCATTCAAAAAGTCAAATGGAAGCTGAAATGGTGAGAGAAAAAAGAAGACAAACAACAGCAACGCAAAAGAAAGCAACGGGAGTCCTTAAGGAGTGATTAATAAATATATACATATATATTCTGTTTAGTAACTGTGGTTATTTTGGTACACAAACTAACTAGTCCCGTTATGCTAACTTTTATATTATGTGTGAACTAATATTACTGTCCTGTGTAGAAATGTTAATCATCTAGTTCCAATAATATTAAAATTTATAATTGTAGTTTGCTGTAACTACACGTTTAAACAACTTAAAATATCTATGTAGGGTGAAAAAGAGGGTGTAAGAGTCAGACGTATAAGTGCATTGTCATCTTTGAGCAGTCTGGTGACTGAGGAGATGAACACTGGAAGTGTGTTTGCATCGCGCACATTAGCTGGTAGTCTATTCCAAATGACTGAAAACTTATTTAAGAAGAAGTTGTACCGCACGTAAGTCTGACAGTGCTCCATAGCAGCTAGGTTGTGATGATTTCTAAGATTGTAACTGATGACAGCGGTAGGTTTAGTTATTGGCTCGGAGGAATGCAAGAGAAGATTAGTTAGCTTATAGTAAAAGATAAGGTTTAGCTTAAGGCGTCTTTTCCAGAGGGGTTCTAATCTTAGTCTTACGCATCGCTCATGGTATTCCAGACCACTTTCTAAACCAAGAGTTCTTGAGGTAAACTGCCGTTGCACTCCCTCTAATTTAAGCTTGTCATTTTGTCTTAGTCCGCTAAGAATAAACGGGCAGTATTCTAAGATAGGTCGGACACATACTTTGTATAATAAAACCCTAGTTTCACAACAAAAGAAATTGCGTGTTATGCATCCTATCAGCCTTCGCGTTTTACGTCTGGCATAATCAGTCTGTTCAGCGAACGTTAGGTTACTAGAGTATCTAATACCGAGATCTACGACTGAATTGAGCTTAGCTAGTTTTCGCCCATTTATTTCAAGGTTTAGATCAAGCTTACTGTTGCCGATACAAATCCAGCCGCATTTGTCAATGTTAAAATTTAGACAGGATTCAGCACACCACGTTGCAAGGCTACTTAGTTCAAGATGTATTTTAGTAACCATATCGCTTAATTCATGAGTGTAGCAGGAGTAGACGACTTTGAGGTCGTCAGCATATAGGAATGGTTTACCTGAGGTGAAGCACTTGCAAATGCTGTTAATGTAAACTGTGAATAAAAGTGGACCTAGGACACTACCTTGCACGACCCCACTTGAGATCTGCCTAGGATGAGACAATACAGATCCAACTTTGGTTATTTGTACCCTGTTGCTTAGAAATGATTTTAACCAGTTCAGTAATGGGTTGCGAATTCCACAAGAGTACAGCTTCTCAAAGAGAATACTGTGAGATACCATGTCAAATGCCCTAGATATATCGAAGTATAGAACAACGACTAGCTTACGTGCTTCGCGATTACTAGTGATGCAGTTGAAAAAGTCGAAGTGGCAAGTAACGCAGGATCTATTTTTGAGAAATCCGTGTTGAGACCTTGTAACAAGATCCTCCCTAATTAGGTAGTCTGACAATTGATCTTTACAACTTTCTCCATGATTCGTGAGATAACTGGGGTTATATTTATGGGTCTGTAATTGCGGACGTTTGCCCTATCACCAGATTTGTAATGTGGAATTATGAAGCTAGTTTTCCACTCACTAGGGTAAGTGCCAGTGTCCATAGATATTGAGAAGAATTTAAGAAGTAACAGGGTATATCACACCCACTGTTTTTGAAAATTATCGAAGCGAGGCCATCCGGTCCCGTACTAGTGGAAGGTTTAAGGCTTTTAATTGCTTGTACTATTAGTTGATTAGTGAACACAATGCTTTCAAGGGAAGAGATAGTAAGGGGAGCGGTTTCACCAGGCATATGTGTTTCTAAACTAAAGTTTGCAAACCAATCACTGAAAGTTCACAGATAGTGGCAGGTTCATTGTAGATTACTTTGTCGTGAAGTAAGTATGGGATTTCCCTCGCTGACTGCATTCGTTTTTTAAGAAGTGCCGTTAAGTTATAAACTTTGGAGGTACTTTCAAGTGCCGTTAACTCTTCGTCGAGGTCCTTTTGAGAACGTAGGCGCTTGATAGATTCAAGAGACTCGTGGATTGAGAGCAATAGTGATATGTCCTTAGTGGAATAGTACTGTTTCTTCAGTTTCCTTAACTTATTACGGTGTGCCCTTGGAATATATTCAGTTCGGTGTCTACTTAATTTCACTATTTTATTTGGGGCAACTGTATCTAGACAAAGGGTAACATTCCTGTAAAACAGGGTTACTAAGGCCTCCAGGGAGTCAGTGGTAAAATAGTCATCCCATTGACAGAGTCGAATAAGTTCTTGGACTAATCCCCAGTCTGTATATTTGTAACTACGACATATTGTGCTTCCTGAGTCTTGTTTGTTTCCTGTATTTAGTGGTGAGAAAGGCAGAGAGCAGAGTACCATTCTATGGTCACTACTGGAAAATCTATTACCAACATAGTGGATACTGGGATTGTGTCATGACAAAAAACAAGGTCCAAATGTTGTCCCCACGAGTAGGTGTCTGGACGTGTTGTTGCCATCCATAACAGTCTATAGTGGCAAGTAATTCGTCGAAGCGTTGGGGGCCGGAACTAGTTAGCCAATTGACTTCTGGAAGATTGAAGTCCCCTGCAATTATTTTGTAATTAGCACTAAACGAGGATGCGTGTGCAAACGATTTAGCTAATAACGCATCAGTTTCTTTTGTTGCGCTTGGTGCTCGATAAACACAGCCTATGAGAAGTTTGTACTTATCTCCATGTAAGACAACCCAGAGTGAGTCAGGTACATTATTCATTGTTTCATCTTCCACCTTACTGACTACAAATGAGTTATGTATATATATGAGACATCCTCCACCACGCTTGCAATCTCTGTTTGCACGGTGTACAGTGTAATCATCGATACCTATATGCACATCAAGTACTGAGGATGAGCACCATGACTCAGTAATCAGAGCTACAGTAGGCTTGGCGACTAATAATAATGTCCTTAGTTCAGATATCTTATTGATTAAGGAGCGTGCATTAATTAGCAATATCGTGAATAAGTCACGGGATACTACAAACTGGCTTAAAATGTCACCATAACCTAAATCTATTTGTGCGTCAGCACCGCAAGAATTTATGAATGAAAAGGAGGTCGGACTGGGTGTCTGCACATCGGAGTTGGTGTGCAATGAGGTGGTCCTAGGTGCCATGGGTCGTACCAGTGATTCAGGACACCTGGAAAATTTACCATGTGTTCCTGGATATAAGGGTAGTACAGGTTGGGCCTAGGTTGACGGTTAAAAGGCATAGCATCAGAAGGTCTACCCATCCAACTGCTATTCGTCATACCGGTATACACCTTCGGGTTGTTTTTATAACTTAAAGGGAATTGTGAAGGAAGGTGCTTTGGCTGCAAGACTTTAGGAGTCTTGGAGCCTGACTTTCTATAAGGTGGAGCATGCGGAACACCTCCAGATGTACTTATGTTTCGAGAGGAGTTTTTCGTAACAAGTGATGGTTTGTTGGCATTCTTACTCTCAGCAGGCTTATTGAATACAAAGTATTCTTCCCCATCATTAGTCTCAACCCTGCGAAATTTGTTCATCGTGGTGAGGTTACTACGTTTGGGGGGAAATTTCTTAGAACAACTTGCAGAAGTTCTAGTCATTTTAACATCTTTCGATGAGGCTTTGTTTACAGGGGTACTGGTATCTAAATCAGTTCCTAGTTCCATTGGCAGGTGTGGTTGTTGTGTAGTTTGCTGAATGCTAGTTTCAGCACTAGGTGTCTGTTGCTGTGCACGATCCTTATTTGGTAAATCTAAGCTAGAGGAGGTGACCAGGTTATTACTACGCATTATTCTGCGCTGACACGGTGTTTTATCCTGAGCTACGGTTATAGACTTATAACTGCTATTCAGTCTTAAGTGATCCTGACATTTAGTAAACTTACTAGCATCAAGGGAATTACTGAATTTAAAAATGATTGGGCAATTAGCCTGGTTAGACTTTTTACGAAGTCGTTTGCATTCACATGGAACACTAGCCATGCCGCAACAAATCAGGATTTTGTGTCTTACAGTTTTCAGGGGCAGAGAATCTGGGACGTTGTAAACTATAGCTTGGTGAGAAGAGGTTATACGCTTCATCACCTCCGTAGCCAAGCAGTCAATCAGATTTTCAGCTTTATTTAGGTTGTCTGGAGATATTTTAGGATGCCTTTCTAAAAGACAGGCTATTGGGTCTAAATTCAAAAGCTTATTTTGAGTTACATCCAGTAAACACTTAACCTGGCCAATATCAGAACGGCTCTCCGTGGTATTTGAGATTGGCAGTGACATACTATCAAACTGATCTAATTTTTTCTGAATTTCACTTACTTGCCTCTGCATATCTTTCAAAAGGAGGTTTAGTTTACAGAACTCAGAGTTCTCTAACAGAACATCTTTCACCTGTATCACAGGAGTGAGATCTGCACTCAAACCATTTTGAGAGCTAGTAGTTGATACTGTATTACGAGGCGGTAATGCAGTTATAACCGAATTTAAGCCACTATCTAAAACAATTGTGTTTCTACGAACACGTTTTTTAGAGATTTGGACCATAATTTCAAGAATTATATGACAATAAGCAGTAAATAAATTTCAGAGCAAACACGTGCAAAAATGTCACCAATTTCGAACGTACCGCCGAACGATATCAGCTCATGATGAAATCCTCCATGCAATCACCCTAACAGTTAACTGTACCACCTTCACAACGCCACCTTCGACAACTCCTTTGATCATAAACTGTTGCAATATAGCATTTCGCTATCCCTAGTCCAACATGTCATTAAGCCCATGCTTTATGAATCACAACACTCCTCTTCAACTCTGGACATAATGTTCTTCCATGGTCAGGATATGGATATCATGCAACATCTTCCTCCTTTAGGAAGAAGTATGGAGTCCTCAAAAGTAAACTTATCCAAATTTTACTACTATGTAAGAAATGAACATATTGTACATCACTTTGTTTTAACCATAAACTCTGTACTTTGAGCTTTACCTCGGGTTTTGAATAAATATATAGTTCTGACTCCGACTCTCCGTCTTCTCCACCGTCTCAACTGCTGTCGATCAATTTTAATCACCTGCTTTCTATCTCAAATTTTTGCAGGAGCACCGTAGTTCTTCCTACGTACTTTGGTCGACGTCCGGCAACGTCAACATTGGAGAATTAGTACTGGAGCAGTCTTCCCGCAGCACCTGGAGTCTATAACGTTTATTGTGGGCTTTGGATCTTTGTAAACCCAAGTAACCAGACTTTAATACATTCTTCCCGTAACTAAACTGATTTGGTACTTTATTTTCTATTTGAATTTGGGTAACTAAGCTAATAGAGTGAAAAGGTCCACCACAGAAGTGATTACGCTGTGCTCACTTTCAAGTTCACAGCAACAGCGTCATGGGCCAAAACCCCTGCTCGACCAAACGTTTGGAAACCTGATATAAATGCGATCGTCTCAGCAGCCAACTCATTGAACTAGTACATCAACCCAGAGTCCCAAGTCGAAGCCGCATGGAACCAATTTAAACAACTTTACGCCCAAGTAACTGAAACTTTCATCCCTTGGTCTGTCCCAAAGGGCCGGAAACATTGCCCACCCTGGGATAAACCGAGAGATTTGTAAGTTACTCAGATGTAAACAGAAGTGTTGGAACCTGTTTGCCATACTTGAGACTCCTTAGGCCAGGAAATTATATAACTCTGCTAGGAATAAAGCTTTTGCAGAAATCCACCAACCAAGGTTGAAGTTCGAAGAACATCTGGCCCAAAATGAAAAGGTACAACCTAAAAAATTGTTCTCGTACATGAACTTCAGGAATAAAACATTCAATGGTGTCCCAAACCTGACTATTAACAATAACGCAATCGAAGAAGATCAAGAAAAAGGAGAAGCAATCGCAGACTACTTCTCCCAAGTCTTTACACAGGCGTCATCACTCCCCATAGGATCAGCTCTGGCTGCATCAGAGGAACACGGCATAGCTCCCGTTGACTACCAGGGGATCGTTCCCAACTGTCTAATGGAACTAGATGCAGAGAAATCAATGGGTCCTGATAATTTTCATCCAAAGCTTCTCAAAGAGCTATCAGCCCACATAGCTTGAACATTGGCCACGATCTTCAAACTGTCTCTCGTGATGGAGTGTTATCACGTGACTGGAAAGACGCCATAGTAACCCCCATTCACGAAGGAGGATCAAGACAAAGCCCTTCAAATTACAGGCCGTTCCTGCAGGTGTAGCAGGCACCGATCGTTTTAGTAGCCACTTGTGGCATATACGCAATATTTTACTAAGGGAAAGTGGTAAAGTTGAACAATAGCGTCCCAGTGGATGCGAACGCACGAGTGTCCTTGAGCCGACCAATCATATATTGAGGAACTTTTGCATGAGAAATGACGTGTATTTACAATAAACTGAATGTAAACACATTAAACAGGGTATCTTTCTCTGACAGGACTTAAAAATGTGTCCCAGATATAATGAGGAGTATCAGTCGCTAAGTTAGACTAAATTCTGTACATTTATTCGCGAAGGTAACGGAAGGTGAGCTGTTTTTGCAAACCACTTATCTCCCTTATCCTGCTGAGCAGTCTTCCCCGAAAGCCGTCGGTTGAATTACTATGGTTTCCAGTAAGAGAATCGACAACTACTTACCAGGGAAGTAAGGATAATAAAACAAATTAAAATAAATGACATCAACTCTAAATCTATTTTTAGAGGTATGGACGTTCACGGATAGTACGAAGTATACTAACGCAAGATCTAATACCAACAACTTCCATAGTATACGTCCCGTGTAGAACAAAGGCAAAGCAAAAGACAATAGTTGAACGTCCAAATTACAAGATATATTTCGAGACCAAATTGAAGTCCGAGATGACTGCAACAAAAAGTCAACAAAAGCCGTACAATCAACATAGTCGCTGACAGACAGCGTAAAATCATGGCTCTTTCTCCAACTACCTTCAATATGAACTGCCAGTCAATTCCAGCCATCTCGCCAACAGAGGAATTTACCTATCTGGGTGTTCCCTTCAATTACAAAGGCAGGCGCTGCTTCGATCATGTGGGCGTCATCAATGGATACTTAGACAATGTGGAACGCGCCCCCTCAAACCTCATCAACGAATTAAAATTCTGAAGAACAATCTCATTCCTCGTCTACTCTACTCACTGACTCTCAGCATCGCTCACAAGAATACCCTGATGGAAAAACTTATTCGCGCAGCCGTCCACCGATGGCTTCACCTCTCAAAGGACAATCCGACTGCATTTTTCCAGGCTGATAACAAAAAGGGAGGCCTGGGAATCATGAATCTCTTAACAACGATTACAAGCCATAGGCGCAAAAGAATCGAGGCATTGCTCAACAATAGGAATCTGCTCATACGCAGCATAGCGTCCTCCGCCACCTTCACGCCTTTTCTTAGGATCTGCAATCTTCCGATGCAAGCCCACAGACAAATAGTAACATCTGCGGAAGAAGCACATGAAAGCTGGACACAACAGCTACACTCATCAGCGGATGGTTATGGTTTGACGGAACCAACAACATGTCCCGAATCTCATAAATGGCTTCTCAATCCTGAAAAGGGCCGTTTAACTGCGTGGAGGACTCTTGGTCACAAAAACGAGAAATGTGCGGGAAAGTCCTAGAGTCGACATCAACTGCAGAGGCGGGTGTGGTCAACCAGAAAAACTTCAACATATTCTTCAGCATTGCGCTCTTACTCATGAGGTCAGATGCAAAAGACACAACGACTTCCTCAAGCTGATCGCCAACAAAACTCCGCAAATCCAATACCAGATTTTACATCTAGCCGCGTGTTCCAACGCCTACATCTTTCTGTCAACCAGATATGATTATCCTGTTAGACGGTGTGGCATACATTCTCGACGTAACAATCTGCAGCGACGCCTACATTTACATCAGCCATGCGTTGAAGATGTCAAAATACGGAGCTCTAAAGACGGTTGCTGCATGTAAACGATTCCTGTCTACAATGGGACACAGTTCAAAGAATCATGCAAATTCCTGTTGTAATCTCTTATCGAGGGATGATCAGTCAACCCTCAGCAAAATATCTTCGCAGACTCTCTTTCACCTCCTTCCACATTTCACGCCTCTGCATCTCAACCATTCAAGGCTCTTTGAAAATCTATGGTACTTACATGCGTGGAACGTATGGACTCAGACGTAGAAAAGAATTGAACCAGTGATATTGTAAATTTATTGCCATATAGGAATACTTTTTTTCTACCGTTTACTCTACTTCCGTTTGGCATAATTCACACGCGAGACACATTGTGACACTCATAAACATATATATATATATACACTCACTGAACCGATAATACTGTTATTAACCTCCTAAAATGCCTGATAACTTTGTTTATTCTATATATTCTAATTGTTCTATACTACATACACGCATAGAGCATATTGTCCCTATGAACTTCTCCCGATGTTAAATACTATTACTGCATTCAACTGTCGATGCTACCCTATGATTCATACATGCAAGCAACATTCACATGCTCAAAATTAATAGAGACTTGTATTACATTTGATGATTCTATAAACATAAATTATTAAAAATCATACTTTTGTACCAGTCACGAATATCTCACATCAACATATGACATAAACAATCACTCATAATTACACAGGTATGTACAAACACTTCTAACTGACAGTGCTGCAGAAAAAGTACATATTATTGGGCTCAACATGGGCTGCTGTGCTAATATTTCTACACTTATTCTTTGATAGTTTAATTGACTAATTTACGTTCATACATTTATTTATCTTTACGGAGGTTACTTATGTTATTTAGGAATCATTATTTTGTACTTATTTTTCTATTGACTTTTTGTATTATTGTACTTTATTTTTGTGTGTGTGTACTCAACTTGAATATTGTAAAAATTGTTCATTCGCGGAAGCGAATGGACAATCTTTATTTGATATTCGAAAAAAATATGTTAAGCTAGGGATCGTGCGCGAACGTGACATGACGGAGTACTAAGTGGCACGGATGCTTGAGCGGAAGCCTCCGGTCGACTTAAATAGTGAGGGTCAGCATCCAATGTTCAGTGATGGGTGCTGTGGTCAATAATTTTGGGGAATTATTTACCGCTACATATCTATAATCGTAATTGTAACCTTAATCCTGATCCTAACTCTAAACTTAACACTAACCCTAATCTCAATCCTAACCGAAATTGCAACACTTATAGCGACCGTCAACCTAAACCTAATCCTAATTTTGACCCTGATCCTAGCCTCACCCAAATACTTACCTTAACCCAATTCCTAACCCTAAGGAGCTATTAACCGCTTGTCCAAACAGTATTTAAAAACGTGATCTGGGTGAAATTTGCTCATTAGTTGGCAAATAGCTTTGATATTTCAGCTATGATAATGACAGGTGCCGTTAGCCAATGACCAGCTTGCGTTCGAAGTCACTGGAACGTTCAAACCCCTGGGACGCTACTGCTGATCTTAGCTACCTTAACGTGCGAAAATCTGTAAATTAACTCTAATCTAATTTGAACCAACTCTATCGTCACCTTTATTAGGTTGACCTAAACCTAACTTGTCCTTAGCTTAAAGCGTAGCTTGATCCTTCCCAAACCAA